GCTCTGTGACTCTAGGCATGTTCCTTCCTTAACCTTCCTGACAAAAGAGGCTTTGTAAAAATCATTGTACATCACGTTTGGGTGTTCACTAGGTATCAGATACAGTTCTAACTACTTTCCATTCATCAACTCAGAGTTTAAAATAACTTGGGTGAGGTTATCTCCATTTTAAAAGTGATGGTGGAGGACCAGAGGGGTTAAGTAATTTGCCTAAAACCACACAGGTTAGTAAGTGGAAAACCAGAATTTTGAACTCAAGCTGTCTGGGTCTGGAATCCAAGCACTTAACTGTTAATGATACACTGTCATCTGTAAATGAGGTTAATAATTCTAATTTTATACAGCATCTGTGAGGATTTAAATTTGATAAGGTTAGGCTAGCAGGTGGTATGGTGGTTAAGGCAACTGCATCCCACATGCCAACTGTGTGGTTCTTGTGCTGGATCCAGTGGCTTAAAAAATACACAGGACACGTGTGTGTGTCCAAGATCCCCAGAGGAGAAATAGAGGAGAAGGGATTGCAATGTAGCTATCCCCTGTGTGGGATGATTTCTCACTTTCCTCCTCTGGTGAGAACACATGGCCTATAGCAAACTAAAAATCAACAAATAAATAAAAATAAATTTGATGTTTCTAAAGTGTTTGTACAGTCCCTCAGTCAACAAATATTGTCTACAGGATGACAGGTAGTCTCTGTTCCCTTGTAGTTTGTAATCTAAAAGGATAAACACTCAATAGTTAGTAATTTCATCAAGAATTATTTAACTCCAGGGAACCAGCAATTAGTGTAATGGCTATGTCACTGAACTCCCACGTAGTCGACCGCGGTTCGCATCCCGGACCCAGTGGCTTAAAACTCACGCCAGGCGCGTGTGCGTGCATGCCCAAGATCCCGAGAGGAGAATAGAGGAGAAGGGATTGCGGCGTGACCATCCTCTCTGGGGAGTGATTTCTCGCTTTCTGTCTCTATGTCTCTGTCTGGTGAGCGCACGCGCCCTATAGCAAAAACCTCTCAAAAAAAAAAAAAGAATTATTTAACTGCAGATGTTATAAAGGACACTGTTTGGTACTGAGAAAGTGTACAACAGGAGATATAATCCTGTTGTGCATGTCAAGGATAGACACCCTACCTTCTCAGTTCTGTATTCTTAGAGTCTAGCCCAGTTCTTGGTATATAAATGTTGCTCAGTAGGTTTGAGTAATGAAATTAATGAAAGGGGTGAGAATATTGAATATCAGAATAGAATGAGAGAAATAGGAGAGGGGAGATCGGGGTGTTAATAGGAAGGAGGACACAGGGGCCAGGGTGTTAGTGTGGGAAGATAAGCAGGCAGGTAATTGAGTAGGTAAATGAAGAGTAATGAGACACAGGGGCCAGGGTGTTAGTGTGGGAAGACAAGCAGGCAGGTAACTGAGAAGGTAAATGAAGAGTAATGGGTAGAGGTTTGAATATTTCATTCAAGGAGGGAAATAACAAGGGGTGAGTATTGAAGTGGATGAGATATTGAGATATTTGCTGGAATGAAGAGAGATGAACAGTTTGGGATGTCAGGATGGATATTGAAATATTAACAGCAGGATGCTGGAAAGAACCATGGAGAAATGAGGTTTTAGGGAACTGGGGCAGAATTTTGTGGGAAACGTAATCAGAATAGGATGAAGGCTAGGAGGCAGAAGTAGGCAGCACAGGATGGGCAAGTTGGCTTTTGAAAGAACAGCAGCTGAGTTAGAAACTTTGAAGAGGACTGGAAATTGGGATAATTGAACAGACTAGAGAAGGAGAAAGAAGGGCCAGCTTGTGGCATGGTGGTTAAGGTGACAGGATCCCACATGGGTGGCTGTGCAGTTCAAGTCCTATACTTGGCGGCTTGAAAAACACATGAGGTGCATGTGCATGCATGCCCAGAGCCCTGAGAGGAGAATGGAGGAGAAGGGATTATGGCCACCCTCCCTTTCCATTTCTCTCTTTGGCAAGTGCACGAGCCTTGTAACAAATTTAAAAAAGAAGAAAAAGGTATGTTTATTCTCATGCAAAAATAATCGGAACCCATGCATAGTTTTCTTCATAATATACATTTTCCATGAATTTCTCTGTGACTCTCTTGTATAGGGTGCGTGATGTATAGGGGTTTGAGGTTAGGCCTGAAAGTTGGGACCAGATTATGATGACTCCTGTATGTGGTGCTGAAATGTTTACACTTGCCGGCTTAGGGAACCATCAGACTTTTTTTATTTTTGTGAGGTAAATTGGTCAGAGATTGAAGATTAGTTTTTCAATGGCAAAGGAGGATTGAAAAGAGCAATTAGGAAAATATGATAGTCTAAGAAAGAGATGGTAAATGTTGGATCTAGGGCAATACCTATGAAGATGCATACAGATGAATTTAGAAATATTTTAGAGACAGAATTAATATGTTATTGGATCAGGGAGAGGAATGTGTAGGAGGTAACTCTAGTTGTTAATTTATTCAACAAAGATTTATTGCATCCCTACTAGGAACCAGGCACTGTGCTAGACTGGGGAGATAGTACTAAACAAACCAGAGCTCTCCTAGAGCTTACCAGTTTAGCAGAGAGACAGATGTTAAGCAACATCCATAAATGTATTGTTTCAAACTGATTGGGGAAAACATAATTGATCGTGAGTATAGAACTGGAGACTTCATTGAATCTACTCTATACTGGAAGCTTTCCTGAGGCAGCAACAGTTGAACTGATCTCTGAAGGAAGACTGAGGTTTGATGTGGTGAAAAGAATAGGGTCAGGCATTTGAGACAGAGGGAATTATGTGTAGAGGACAGTGTGACTGGAGTTGAAGGAACAAATGAGAGAGGTAAGTCTGTAGAGATGGGCAGATCCATGTGGACCTTCTGGATCATATTCATTATACCAAGTTTACTTTTCTGGGGGGGAATAATTTATTATTATTTCTTAATTTGCTGTAGGGCACATGCAAGAGAGAGAGAGAGAAAGAGAGAAAGCCACCAGGTCCTAGACACAAACCACAGTTGGCCATGTAGGGGTCCAACAGCTTAACCACCATGCCACCTGCCGACCCCTCACCAAAAAGTAAACCTGGCTGTCTGACTACAATATAGTGATAGAAGAGTAAGGCAGGAGAGAACTTGTAGACAGTTTGGTGAAGTCTTGAATTAGAGTGGATGAGAGTGGAAATGGAAGAAAGTAGGCAAATTTGAGAGAGATTTAGAAATTACTGGGTCGTCGGAAAAGTCATGACATATCTTTCTATGCAAAAATGCATCATGACTTTTCTGACAACCCAACAGAATTAACAGGACTTAATGATTGAAAAGAAGAGGAAAATGTCAAGAATCACTCCCTGTTTCCTGGGTATTTTAGTGAATACTTTTCACTAATATGTAACAGTGTCGGAAGTACAGGATGGGAGCAGGGTGAGAGACAAAGGGGAAACATGATAAACTCAGTGTGGGCAGAGTTTAGGATGTTGAGTTAAGAATGTCAGTAAGGGGGACCTGGACATTCCCACATGACCAACCATGGTTTGAGTCCTGGACCTGGAGGTTTACTTTCTCACTTTCCCTTTCTCTCTTGCTGATCAAATTAAAATAAATGAATAAATAAATAAATTTTTAAAAAATCAGTGTTAAAAAAGAATATCAGTAAGATATCAAATATACAAGTGGGAATAGGAAGGAGTCTGGTGCTCAGAGGAAGGTCGGAGTAGTGATATAAATATCAGCATACACATGGCATTGGGAGCCATAGGTATTCATTAGATTGTCTAAAATGAGATTAGAGAGAGATTAGAAGGGAGCCTTGAGGAGCTCTGACATTAATCCATATAGAGTAACATGAGCCAGCAAAGGAGGCCACAGAGTAGCCAAGGAAACAGGAGAATACCAGGAGAGTTTGCTATCCCAGAAGTAAAGGAAGAAACTGTTCAGGAAGAAGAGCATTCTCATCAGTATTAAATACTGCTAGTTGCCTAGTACACCCAGCTTCCTTCACTCTAGGATTCTGTGTGTTTATAGATGGGTTTTGTGACCAGTTTGGTCACAACTAAGAACAGAAAAGACAACATGTTGGGCCTGGAGTTAAGTGTCAATACTAGATATTCCGGCGATCTCTTTTTCCTTCTGGCAAGATGATCAGTTTGAAATAATTCCTGCTTTATCAGTTTGGAATAGTATGGGTCCTAAAATCTGTAGTCTCTGGGTTTATAGTTTTGTTGTCTTGAAAGTTCTAGATTTAAATTAATATTTTGGTAGATCTAAAAAGCTAACTTTATTAAATATACTGAAAACTTACAGGTTTTAGCAGACATCTGCCTTATTCTTGCAATGAAGAAAGGTCCTCAGCAAAAAATATTCTCCAAAGCAAAGATGCCACCATCATCTCAGTCTTCCAGTCCTTTGTCTCTTACATCCAATATGAGATCTAGGTCACTTTCACCTTTGATTGGATCTGAGACTCTGCCTTTTCATTCTGAAGTACAGTGGTGTGAGCAAGTTGAGATTACAGATGAAAATAATGTACTTTTGGACCACCAAGACCATAAAGGTATCACTTTTTAATCTAAAAATTTATCCAACTGCATACTTTTAATAAGAGATGAAAATATTGAGTTTGCATTTTTGGTCCATATGTAACATCTGTACTATTACTAACTTCACCAGTTGTTCTTAGTGACAGAAATTGTGTAAAGACAATGAGAAGACTAAGGCTTCTGGTTGAGGATAGAGATGTATGAAAGGAAGAGGGGAGGAGACTTTCCAGAAAGAGGAAGCGTTATTTAATGTGGTACAAGAGTGCTTCAAAGCTCATGCCTCAAATTTGCCATCCTCTTTGGTTAGGGGAAGGATATATCTGTTCAATTCGAGTAGAGTTTCTTAAGTCAGTATAAAAATGTTATCCACACTTGGGCTATGCTACTCTGCTTATTAGCAAACTGGTTATCTTTTAATGGACTGATTTCCACATATAAGACATATGTATGTTCCACCCTTTTTTTTTTAAGAATTATTTTATTTAACTTTATTATTATTTTTGAATTTGACTAGAGGTACAGAGAGAGAGGAAAGTGAGAAAGCAAGCTACCAGGTCCGGAACTCAAACCACAGTTGGCCATGGGGGAGTCCAGTGCCGCTAATCACCATGTCAATTGCCAGCTATTTTTTTTTTTCTTAAAAGCATTCTGTTAGTCTGGGAATCTGTTTCCAAAAGTGTACTATTCTTTGCTGTGTCATGCAATCACAGCTATCAAACTCTTTAGACCTAAATATCTGATCAGTGTTTATTAATGAACATTATGAGCATTGAGTTTCTACTGTGCCCATGCTGCCAGTTGGAACATGTTAATTCTAATCTGACTCATATTCTAGAATGTTATTTTCTTTTGTAAAACAGATCAAATAAATAATTTTGAACTGAAATTTAATACTAATTTATAAATAGTTACAGGAAATCTTGGGCCCACAACTTGTATCTGAATCCAAGATTCATCTTTTCTTATTCATAAAGTGAGAACCAAGAGGCAGTTCTCTTTTTATGGCTACTTTTATAAAATGTAATATGATTGTAACCATCTTTGACAGCAATATCCAGGAAGATCATAAGGCATAATATAAGGCATAATGTGCTATCTATCAAGCTAATAGTTGAGAAAGCATATTATGATCCTCTCTACTTAAAAGTTAGAGTTTTTCACCATTAAAAAAAAAAAGGAAAGGAACACTTTTAAGAATTTCAGTGCTGGGGCAGATGGCATGGTGGTTAAGGCACTAGACTCCTACATGACTGACCACAGTTCAAGTCCTAGACCTGGTGGCTTGCTTTCTGAGTTTCTCTCTCTCCCTTTGTCTCTTTCTGGCCAAGTTAAAAATGATAATAATGAACAAAATTAAATAAATAATTCTTTTAAAAAAAGAATTTCAGTGCTTCAGAACTTTGGATTTTTTTTTTTTTTTTTTTTTGAGAACTTGCTATAGGGCACATGTGCTCGCCTAAGACACAAGAGAGACAGAGAGAAAGAGAGTGAGAAATCACCCTCCAGGGGTAATGGCCACACTGCAATCACTTCTCTTCCATCTTCTGCTCAGGATTTTGAGCATGCTCGCACATGTACCTATTGTGAGTTTTAAGCCACCAGATCTAGGACTCGAGCTGTGGTCATCCATGTGGGAGTCCAGCACCTTAACCACTATACCACCTGCTGGCCCTTAGATTAGAATCCTTTTTAAAGAATTATTTATTTAATTTTATTTACTATTATTTTTTTAATATTGCCGCAGGGCGTGCATGCTCACTAGAGAGAGATAGAGACAGAGAGAGGGAATGTGAGAAAGCAAGCTGCCAGATCTGGAATCCGAACCACAGTCAGCCATGTGGGAGTCCAGCACCTTAACCATCACACTATCTGCTGGTCCTAGATCAGAATTTTTTTTTTAAATAAACAAGCAGGGCCTGTAGGTGGCATGGAGATTGAGGTGCTAAATCCCACGTGGCCAGCTGCACAGTTTGAATCCCAGACCTGGTGACTTGAAAATCATGCTGGGCACATGTGTGTGAGTGACCAAAATCCTGAGAGGAGACTAAAGCAGGGACTACCCAGGGAACCAGCAGTTAGCGTAATGGCTATGTCGCTGGACTCCCACGTAGTTGACCGCAGTTCGTGTCCCGGACCCGGTGGCTTAAAACTCACGCCGGGCGCGTGTGCGTGCGTGCCCAAGATCCCGGGAGGAGAATGGAGGAGAAGGGATTGCGGCGTGACCATCCCCCCTGGGGGGTGATTTCTCGCTTTCTGTCTCTATGTCTCTCTCTGTCTGTCTGGCGAGCGCACATGCCCTACAGTGAAAATCTCTCCAAAAAAAAAAAAGAAAAAAGAAGGGACTACTCCATGGTCATCTCCCTAAGGAGTGATTTGTTATTCTCCCTCCACCCCATCTGAAAGCACATGTGCCCTATAGCAAAAAAAAAAAGAAAAAGAAAAAAAGAAAATGAACAACTCTATAGTGCCAGTTTGTTTTAAGAAAGTGCAAAAATATTGCTAAAAACTTTAATGCTGCAGGTAGTTAAAGGTGCAAATTGTATATTTATCTGCTTGGGTTCAAATTCTGGATTTGCATTTTATTAGCAGCAAGATCTTGAGAAAATTATTTTAAATGAGTATATTAATACATTATTTCTATCTCAAAAATTTTGTTGTACAAATTAAATTTTTTAATCATAAGGCACTAGAAAATATCTTGCTTAATTTTTTATAGAGCTAATACATATAGAGTATAACTTCTATCATTGTTTCCATTATTACACAATGCTATAAAGTAAAGTATTATTATTAAAACATTGTGATCAGGGCTAGCCAGTTTTCTGTTAACATTTGCATTGCCTAAAAAAATTGGTTTTGTTATATCAAAATGATTTGTCTTTTGGAGTAGTCATATCTTCCTCTACTGATATGTTTATGTAATTTTAGGAGCTGATTCACGTGCAGGAGTCCGATATATTACAGAAGCCCTCATAAAAAAACTTACTAAACAGGATAATTTGGCCTTAGTAAAATCTCTGAACCTTTCACTTTCTAAAGATGGTGGCAAGAAATTTAGGGTAAGTTACAAATTTCTCAGTACCAATATTGTTCCTGATTTTTCTATTTTTAAAATAGAAAAAAAGAGAGAAATAAAGAGAGCTTTTTTTGTTTGCTTTGTTTTTGTTTTTTTTTAGAGAGAGAGTTTTGCTACAGGGCATGTGTGCTCAACAGAGAGACAGAAAGTGAGAAATCACTAGCCCTGGATGGATGGTCGCACTTCAGTCCCTTCTCCTACATTCTTCTCTCGGGATTTTGGGCACTTATGCACATGTGCCTCGTATGAGTTTTAAGCTGCTGGTCCGAGACTTGAACCGTGGTCACCTATGTGGGAGTCCAGCGACGTAACCATTATGCCATCTGCTGGTCCCAAAAGAGAGCTTTATATGTTGATGTAAAAGGAAAGATAATGGGGAAATTCTTGGATAGTCTTGGGCTTCTTAATATGTAGGAAGTGACTACTAAGAGAAAGTTTGATGGTTTGAGGGGTGATGCTATCCCTAACCAAGGAGAGCTGCATCAAGCAGTTGTCCAGGAGAGCAGTAAAGGTTCTTATTCTCTATGACCGATCAAACAGCTTCTGATGCATGTATTTAAATGTTGTGCTTTATATCAAGGTATCTGTTGTGTAAAGTATTTATTCATTTGTTTCCAATTAGTATATCGAGAATTTGGAAAAATGTATTAAGCTTGAAGTATTGAATCTCAGCTATAATCTCATAGGGAAGATTGAGAAGATGGACAAGCTGTTAAAATTACATGAACTCAATTTATCCTATAACAAAATCAGGTGAGTAATCAAGGTCTTTGTTAGAGACATAGAGTAATGCTGCCCACATCAGTAAAGGAATACTTTGCAACACCAGGTATTTTGATTCTTATTCATTGATATTCTACCCTTTCATATGTAAGTGAGTTTATGTTTTGATTTCTCAAGTACAGTGTACTATTTAGCATTATTGAAGAAATAAATACATTTTTTGATTACCAAATTTTATCTAAATTTCATTTCTGACAGGGAATTTTCCCAGATGCTATCTATGCCTTATTACATAAAAAATGTTGACATGGGGACCAGCAGTTAGCGTAATGGCTTTGTCGCTGGACTCCCACGTAGTCGACCATGGTTCGCGTCCCAGACCCGGTGGCTTAAAACTCACGCCGGGCGCGTGTGCGTGCGTGCCCAAGATCCCGAGAAGAGAATGGAGGAGAAGGGATTGCGGCATGGCCATCCCCCCTGAGGGGTGATTTCTCACTTTCTGTCTCTCTGTCTCTCTCTGTCTGTCTGGCAAGCACACGTGCCCTATAGCAAAAAACCTTCCCCCCAAAAAGAAAAAATGTTGACATGGGGACCAGCAGTTAGCGTAATGGCTTTGTCGCTGGACTCCCACGTAGTCGACCATGGTTCGCGTCCCAGACCCGGTGGCTTAAAACTCACGCCGGGCGCGTGTGCGTGCGTGCCCAAGATCCCGAGAAGAGAATGGAGGAGAAGGGATTGCGGCATGGCCATCCCCCCTGAGGGGTGATTTCTCACTTTCTGTCTCTCTGTCTCTCTCTGTCTGTCTGGCAAGCACACGTGCCCTATAGCAAAAAACCTTCCCCCCAAAAAGAAAAAATGTTGACATGAAGCAGACTATCTTAACTCTGTCACTTCTATCCCAAAGATATTTTAACCCATTTTGATAATTGGTATTATCCTGATGTTCTTTGCTAATTGCTATAAGAAATATACCCTCCTTTTTAAAAAAAAAAATTATTATTAATTCAGTTTTATTTCTTTATTTATTTTTAATCCAACCAGAGAAAGAGAGAAACTAAGAAAGCAAGCCACCAGGTCTAGGACTTGAACCTCCAGTGTTGGACACGAGGAAGTCCAACACCCTAACCACCATGCCACTTGCTGGCCCCCAAGAAATATACTCTTAATCTTGTTTACAATTCATAAAGAATATTACTGTGAGAAATAAATATAATAAAACTAGTGGCTAACCTGTATATAGAAAATTTATTGTAGACAAAATGATACAGGAATCAAATCTTGAAAATCTTTTTTTTTTGGAGATTTTTGCTTTTGGGTATGTATGATGTTGGAGAGACAAACCGAAAGCAAAAAATCACCTCCCAGGGAGATGGCCATGCCACAATCCCTTCTTCATTCTCCTTTTGGGATTTTGGGCATGCGCCTGGTGTAAGTTTTAAGCCACTGGGTCTGGGACTCAAACCATGGTCGACCACGCTGAAGTCCAGCCCCTTGAACACCACTTTACCTGCTGGCCCCAAATCTTGATAATCTTAATATTTGTACACTCTACCCCCGAGGTAGACTTCGTAAATATGATGACCAACAATACAAACAATAATAACAGTTCATTTTAAGACAAAAGTGAATTTTTTTAAGAAAGATTAATGAATGAAACTTTTCATATAAAATTTATTTAAAAAATAATTGATCCTGGGCTGGCAGCTGGCATTGTGATTATGGTGTTAGATGCCACATGGCCAACTCCACAGTTAGACCCAACATCTTGAAAAACACACCGGGCACATGTACATGTGTGCCGAAAATCCCAATAGGAGAACAGGAGAGAAGGGAGTGTGGCATGGCCATCCCCACAGGGGGTACTTTCTCACTTTCCCTCTGTCTGTCTCCAAAAAATGCATATACCCCCATAGCATTTAAAAGAAAAAATTAAAATTAAAAAAAAAAAGAAAGAATTGCCTGGTGTAAAAAAATTGACCACAAAGTAAACTAACAATTAAATTGGAAGTAATTTGGGGAAAATTTTATCAATGAAAATTAATTAATATTGATGATAAATGTTTTGTTAATTTAAATATTCTGATTAAATTACTTACATGCATAAACATAGTATCATTCTAGGGACTCCCGTGTCGTCTTGGCATAGCTTGTCTTTCTGTGATAGCTGAAGATAAACTAGGGACATCTTATCTTCTCTTGGGTAGGCTAGCTGTACGTTGCACACATAGTGCCATTGAGTTTTCCAGCTCTCCCTAGCTGTCCACTCATACTTTTTGTAGTGGTTAGTGAGATTGCTATGGACATACTCTTTTGTGATACAGGATCTTGAAGTCTGATAGTAAGATGGATAGCATTCTTGGGCATAGTAATGAAAAATTGGCAGTTTAGTTGTTCTGGTGAATTTTTTAGGTACTTTTTTTGTTTTAACTTATGAAAAAGATTAATAAATTGTAATTATTAAAAGAAATCCCCCATGGAACCAAGACTGTATAAAAATACAGTGAAGGGACTCTATAATTGTATTTACTAAGTTTGATTTTTATTCTTTGGTTTTTAGCAAGATTGAAGGCCTAGAAAATATGTGTAATCTACAAAAGTTAAACCTTGCAGGAAATGAAATTGAGCATATTCCAGTATGGTTAGGGAAGAAGTTAAAATCTTTACGAGTCCTCAATCTGAAAGGCAACAAGATATCATCGGTAAGTTATTCAATGTCACAAGAATTTTTTCAAGTTTTTGGACTTGTTGAAAAAAATTATGGGGTGGGACCAGCAGTTGGCGTAATGGCTGTGTCGCTGGACTTCCATGTAGTCAACTGTGATTCGAGTCCCGAATCCGGTGGCTTAAAATCATGCCGGGCATGTGTACGTGCATGCCCAAGATCCTGAGAGGAGAATGGAGGAGAAAGGATCGTGGCATGGCCATCCCCCCAGGGGGTGATTTTTCACTTTATACCTCTGTCTGTCTTTCTGGCGAGCACACACGCCCTATAGCAAAAACCTCTGGGAAAAAAAAATATGAAAAAAAATTATGAGGGCTGACAGGTGGTTAAGGTGCTAGACTTTCACATGACGAACCATGATTCAAGTCCTGGACCTGGTGGCTTGCTTTCTCACTCTTCCTTTCTCTCTGTCACACACTGATCAAAATTGAATAATAGTAATAAATTAAATGAAAAATAAATAAATCTTTAAAGAAAGAAAAAAAATAGAGATCAGCAGATGACATAATGGTTATGTAGCTGGGCTCTCACACAGTCGACTGTGGTTCAAGTCCCAGACCTGGCAGCTTAAAACACACCACACACATATGCGTACATGCCCAAAATTCCAAGAGGAGAATAGATTGCAGAGTAGCCGTCTCCCTGGGGGGTGATTTCTCATTTTCTGTTTGTCTCTAACAAGCAAAAGCACCGTACAGCAAAAATCTCTCTTAAATAAGTTAGTCTTAATGGCTTTAAAAACAAAATTAAAGTCTTTGTTCCTCTGAGCAAAGCCTAAATTCAGACATAACCTAGGATTCTCTAAAGTAATTAAATATAGACAGTCCTCATTTGCATGGATTGCATAGTAATTGAGAGTAGATTTCTTAGCATTTTCACATTTATCATTTCATTTGAACCTTGTAATAATCTTGTAAGGAAGGTGTGCAGAAATCATTTCTATAATACTATGAATTAAATAGTGTCTTATTACTTGGATTTTATAAGTAAAGTTTACTCAGCGATTTACCCAGAGTCACAGCTTGTGCCAGAATCCAGACCACTGAAAGCCTTGATCAGAGTTCTTTTTTCTTCAGAATTACCTTATAATAAAGTTTTCAAACTTACGAATTGATCTTTATTATGATATTAGGTGTTACAGGTGATCGTTAGGTTTTTACAGTAGAGGAAGTTTGTTATCATGGTTCACAAATTTGGATAAGGATATATATTTTTTCCTGAAGCATAATTTTTTATTTTCTTTTTCTTAAAAACAATTTATTTAGTTTATTTTTTTAAGTTTGCTATAGGGCATGAGAGAGAGAGAGAGAGAAAGTGAGACAGCAAGCCACTAGGTCCAGGACTCAAATTGTGGTCGGCCATGTGGGGAGTCCAGCACCTTAACCACCACACCACCTGCTGGCTCCAATTTTTGATTTTCTTGTGGTGGTTCATTTGCAGTTAGATCTTTAATCAGCATTTGCTAAGTAAAAATGTTAATTTATTTACAATTGTGTTAAAATAGGAAAAATTATGCTATAATTTAAAGAATATCAGTCAGAATAGAAGAGAAAAAATGTAACTTCAAGTATGGGCCTATACTTGCCTTTTATGACCTTGGAGACTTCTTAAGCCCTCTGTTTAAACTGAAGAAAATAATCACTATGCTGCATTTTTTACAGGGGGATTAAGGACTCAGATGAAATGATAGATATGAAAATACTTTAAGAATTTTAAAACACTAAAATAAGACTGTATCCCTTAAATCTTCACCCACGGAAGCCAATAATAATAAGCAACATATGTTTAATTCTGTGTATTAACAATGTCTATGTTTTCCTGTTTTATCTTCATAAAGATCTGGTAAGGTAACACTCTTCCATTCTCTGTGATAGCCCAAGAACCTCAAGCCCAAGCCTCACACATATTATACAGCATCACCATGGAGCTCTTGAAGCATGTGGGGGTAATAGGAAGAGGTAGCCTTAAATCTAAAGTTTGCCACAAATACTCCTCAAAGTAGTTAATCCTTAAATAGCACTCAATGTCAGCTAACAAACAGTAAGAGGAAAATCATTCATAAAATATTTATGATCCCTAATTTGTTTGACTTATCCTTGTATTAAACATTGGCATCATTAAGAATGATGCACATTCACTCATGAGAGGTTTATTTGTACTAGCTATTTGGTGTAGTATTTCTCAACCTTTTAAAATCCCTCTTTGGATTAGCATAAGAATACTACTTTAAAAATGTGGGTATCTCCAAATATACATGTCTTTTAACTATCATTTAACTCAGTTATCTGAAGATTTACTAAAATATTTTTCAATCTTTTTAAAAATTATTTTATTTTAGCTTTTTATTTATTTAATTTGACCAGAGAGGGACAGAGCGAGAGAGTGAAAGAGAAGAAAGTGAGAAAGCAAGCCACCAGGTTCAGGACTCAAACCATGGTTGAACATGTGGGAGTCCAGCACCCCTAACCAACATGCCACCTGCCAGCCCCCTAAAATCTTTTTGTTAATACCGATTCATATTTTCAATTTATTCAGTCAGTATAATGAAAAGTCATAGGCTTAGAATTAAACAGACTTGAATTCAAATCCTGGTTTATTCACTTATGGGCTCTCAACTTTGGGCAGATCAACTAACTTCTTTGAATGTCAGATTTTTTTTTAATCTGTAAAATTAAGAGTCTTTTGGGTTGTTGTTAAATATCACAAATCAGATGATATATGGAAAAAGCTTAATACTGCCCTGATATACTATAAATACTCTTCTATACTCTCTTTCTTTTCCTCCTCTTATATCATTTTTGGTAATATGTTTTATGAATAGGCTCCTTGACATGTTAAGAGCAATTTCCCTAACTGATTTATGAAGGTTGTTCAAAAAGTTCCTGGAAAATGCTTATAAAAAAACTAGATGGATGGATTTTTGAAATTTTTTGTGCCAAAATGAACTCACTTTAATTCCATTCTTCCATAAACTTTTTGAAGTCTCCTCATACTTCTTTTAGATGTGTTTATGATTTTTTAATTAAATTGTACCAATACTAATGTTATATCATTTTAGCTCCAGGATGTAAGCAAGTTGAAACCACTTCAAGATTTGACTTCTCTGGTTTTAGCTGAAAATCCAGTTGTGACCCTTCCTCATTATCTCCAGTTTACCATTTTCCACCTCCGTTCACTGGAAAGTTTAGAAGGTCAGCCAGTAACCACTCAGAATAGACATGAAGCTTTTGAGAGATTCAACTTAGGTAAGATAACATATTTTTAAAAAGTTAAATTTGGGTGAAGAAGGAATTTATTTCCATAAATTAGTCTAGAAAAGCAGATTGCATTATGGACTTTATACTGTTATTAAATGTTGCTTGGAAAATGGCACTGTAAGTCAGTTAACAAATATTTATTGAACATGTACTGCCTACTGGATACAGTGCTTGGCACTAAGAATAGACATGTGAGGAAGACATATAGTGTTGGCCTTTGTGCAGCTTATTTTTTAGTGGGCAAGACAAAAAGCAAATAAACCCAAATAAAAGAAGAGAAGGGAATTCTCTTTGTGGTGTAAAGTGGTGTAAAGCTATAAATTTCTAAGGATGTAACATTTAAGCTGAAGCCAGAGGGAAGTAAATCTTAGCCATGTAATAAAAGGCATTTAGGGAGATGAAGCAGCTTGTTCCTTGAGGTTAGGAAGAACCTGATGAATTTGAGAAGCTAAAAGACCATCAGTATGACTAAAGGCTAGCTCAAGAAAAGGTTGAGAATGATAGGGAGGTACAAGATGACACTGGACCTTGGGGTTTAGCTTTTAGTCCAGTAGAAAAAACCATTGATATTTTGTTTGGTTTTTGAGAGATTTTTGCTATAGGACACGTGGGATTGCCAGATAGACAGAGAGATGGGGAAAGAGAAAATAAATCACCCCCCCAGGTGGTTGGGCACACATGCACCTAGTGTGAGTTTCAAGCCACTGGGTCTGGGACTCGAACTGTAGTCGACCATGTAGGAGTCTAGCATTGATGGTTTTTAACCAGGGCTGGGACATGGTCTGATTGATACATTAGGAAGATTCTTTTTTGTGTTGGGAAAAGATTTGGAACAGGACAAAATGGAGATGAAGGGGCCTGTTAGAGGCTGTTGTATAATCAAGGCTAGAAATGTTGGTGGCCTGTACTTAGGTGGTGGAGGTGGAAATGAAAAAAATGGATGGATCCATTTTAAAGGCAGTGCTTTGTAAAAGGATGGATACTTCCCAGACTTCTGGCTTGAGTAAGTGGCAAGATGGCAGTATCATTTATAAAAATGAGAGATTTCAAAGTTTTGTTTAGAATATGTTGAATTTTTAATGTCCGTAAGACATCCAAGAAAAGATGTCAAGTGGAAGGTTGGAAATGAGACTCTGGATTTCAAAGAGATCTGGACTAGCTATATAAATTTGGAAGTCTTTAGTATAAAAATGATATTTAATTCCATGAGCATCATGGTTCACTCAGGCGGTTGTTGTTTGGGAACAGGAAGAAGGGTGGCCAGCTAAAGAGACTGAGAAAGAAAATTTAATGAGGAAGAAGAAAACCAGGAAACAGTGGGTTGCAAAAGCCCAGAGAAGATTTCAAGAGAGGAAGTGGTCAACCGTGTTGAATGTTGCAGAGACTTGAAGTTAAGATGAGCACAGAGAAAGTGCTTTAGATTAGCACCATGGGGTGATGACTTTGACAAGGAGCAGTTAAGAGCAGTGCAGACAAATGCTAGGATTATAATGGATTAAAGAGTGAATAGAAGGGAGACATTTGACTGAATATTGGAATTTCCTCACATAGCTTCTTTCCCCTAGTATTTTAATAAGTGAGGTTTTGTTTGTTTGCTTGTTTGTTTTACTATTGAAAAGTTAAAAAGAATAAAAAGTTCACCAATAACTTCTTCTAGATGTGAAATGGGCAGCAACACTGAATGCAAGAAAGCTCAAAGCCAGTAATTAATGAAACATACAGAATATTCAAGAGTTGAGTCTAGAGACAATTCATGGCTCAGTTCTTTTGGTCTTTGAAAAGACAGGGTGATGAAATTAGAGAAAAAGAGAAAAGACTTCTTGGTAGGAGGGACATTTTCTCCATCTGGAAGGAGAGAAGATATATATGAGTGTGGGTAGTCTTGTTGTTTGGTGGTAGGAAAATAAGGACTTCCCACTGATGAATCTGTTTTCTCAGTGGAATGTGAGGTCATCAGCTGAGACAGAATAGAAGAAGGGGTATGGGATGTTTGAGGACAAAGAGAAAGGTATCAAATAGCCATTTTAGAGTATTGAGAAATGAGCATGTATGTTCAGCCATTTAAAATTGGTGATGGGGGACCAGCAGTTAGTGTAATGGCTATGTCGCTGGACTCCCATGTAGTCGACTGCGGTTCGTGTCCCTGACCCGGTGGCTTAAAACTCACACCGGGCATGTGTGCATGCGTGCCCAAGATCCCGAGAGGAGAATGGAGGAGAAGGGATTGCGGCATGGCCATCTCGCCTGAGGGGTGATTTCTTGCTTTCTGTCTCTCTCTCTCTGTCTGTCTGGCGAGCGCACACGCCCTATAGCAAAAAAAAAAAAAAAAA